CACACACTTCTCCTGGGAATTATTTTCTATTTCCTCCAAATAGAGAAGGTCAGGTGGAATATGGCCTAAAAAGCTGATGCATCCCAGAAATTTGACCTATTAGGATCAATAAAAGAGGTCTGTGGACCCAAAATAATAGCAAGAATTGAAATCTTCCATAAGGGAATAATCTATAAAGCAGGCATTAGTTTTGGGGATTTTTGACTCAAAATTTACTTTTCCTTAATTCCACCCCAAACTCTCAATGTTTCATATGTGAATCTTTTAAAATTCCCATGATGTATCATACACTATGCTAGGCACTAGTGATATAACCACCTCATGCTTCAGCCACTCGTCACTGTCTAAAGTTACCCCCACTCCTGATTCTTATTTCAAAGCTTGGAAACTTCTCAAATTCCAAAGTTAACCTAATAGTTTATATTCCCCAACCACTACCCTAAACTCTCCACACAGACTGGGTTTCCTTCCCTAGCATCCTTTGCACCCTCCTTTTACCTGTAGTATAACGCATCCATTGATTTGTGATGCTTATGTACTATTCTTTTCTATCTTCCTGACTTCTCAAAGGCAGATAATTTGCCTATAACTATGAATTCCCAGTGTCTATCACTGTATACACTAGCTTACAATTAATGTTTGTTGGATGAATAAACAAAAAACATGAACGATGAGTGAATGACAACATGGTACCTACTATGAAGAAATTCACTCTCACAGGGGCTGGGGAGGCAAATAACTGATTGGCCAATTCTAACTCAATGTGGACTAGAGATAAGATCCAAATGCTGAGACAGAACAACATGAGCAGAGAGTCACTGTTCTTTTCATTTAGGCTTTTTCTATCATTTATGCACTGAGGAGTATTTAAAATGTATTGTTGAATACAAACAAACCTTGACTTCTTTTGAAGAAAGGATTGTTATGCAAATCTGTTACATGCATAAAACAATATCATTCAATTAAGAAAATACTGCTGGTTGCTTGCAGAAAATAAGTCTAAAATTTGCCAACACAGAAAATCTCTAGTTAGGTTTAACAAAGGCAATATACAGAGGACAGTAGTATTTGGACTATTACCAAGTTGCTTTTAGTAATAAGAAGTAGTGAATTATAAAAATTCCAGAGGTAGGCTAAGCGCCTGTAGCACAGTGGTTACAGTGCCAGCCACATACACCGAGGCTGGTGGGTTCGAACCTGGCCTGGACCAGCTAAAGGAACAATGAAAACTGCAACAAAAAATAGCCCAGCGTTGTGGCAGGTGCCTGCTGTCTCAGCTACTTGGGAGGCTGAGGCAAGAGAGTAAGCCCAAGAGTTTGAAGTTGCTGTGAGCTATAAAGCCCTGGCACTCTACTGAGGGCAGCATATTGAGACTCTGTCTCAAAAAAAAAAAAAAAAATCCAGAGGTAGTTATGATAAAGAAACTTCACAAAAATGAAATGAGAAAAGATTTATATAGGAAAGCCCTGCTTTCGAGTTACTTAAAAGGTCTTTCTAAAAGGTATATCTCCAGGAGGAATTTCTCAAAATTTTATTCCTACCTTGTTTGGTTTGACATGTGGACAATTGGTTAGCTTGTTACTGAGAACTAAAGAGGCTCTAAAAAAAGCTAGAGTATTCCCACCTCCCTCTCCCCACTGCCAGAGTTTCTTGTGTAGCCTTCACCAGTTCTTCCTCATCATTTCTGGCCAGGACCACAAAAGTGTAGGTGATTTACCTGTCTCCAGAATTTCCTTCTAGTCATCGTATTTTTCACATTGCATAAAAAACTGATCCTTTATAAAGCACAGTAGGATTATAATCTTCTAAAACCCTCTAAAAGTCTTTTGTCTGTATTATACCTCTCCAATTTGGGTACTTTTCACAATGGGAGGTGAGTACTCCACAATTTGGGAAGAGTAAGAGAAGTTATAGGGAAAGTGGGTCCTAGATTTACTCAGTAGCAGTAGTTATCTCAGTCCATTTGGGCTACTGTAATAAAGTACCATCAACTAGGTAGCTTATAAACAATCAAAATTTATTGTTCACAGTTCTGGCAGCTGGGAAGTCCAAGATGGAGATGCCAGGCAGATTTGGTGTCTGATGAGGGCCTGCTTCCTTATTCATCTTTTTCTTATATCTTTACATGGTAGAAGGGGGCCATGGAGCTCTCCCTGGGTTATTTTATAAGGGCACTAATCCCATTCATGAGAGCACCACCATTATGTCCTACTCATTTCCCCAAAGCCCCACTTCCAAACACCATCACAGTAGCGATTAGGGTTCAAAATATAAATTTTTGTGGGGAAACAAACATTCCGTCTATAGCAGTAATATAAAACCTTTTTTAAAATGTTAAAACAAGTATTATAATACAGGTGGACATAAAGTTCATGTGCAATTTACTATGTTAAATAAACTATTTTAAATTGCACACAAATTTTATGTCCACCCTGCATAAAGAAGCTAAATATGAAATTCAGAGAGCTTTTAAAATTAAGGTGTCTGATTATAAAAGGATGAGAAGCTTTTTATAAAAGCTGCTGCATTTTACTCAGAACCAAGACATTTCTTTGAAAAAGTGGTAAAAAAAATCCTCTAGATCGGAAAATTTCCGACCTAGCCTATTGTTGGCCCATAAAACCACTTGTTCTAAGAAGACATATAGACTTTTGTGTGTCCATAACTTTGTTCTTGTGGTTTTGCTACCTAGAATTCTTGTCCCTTTCCTTGGCCAACTCCTCCATTCATTCATACATTCATTCAATCACACATTCATCATTCAGCAAAAACTTGATGGCCTCCATTCTGTCACATGTTCCACCAGGCCCTGGGGATACAGGGATAAAGGGATCCTGCATAGATGGTGAGGAGAGTGGTAAGAGTCAGACAAGAACAGGAATGAATATAATGATGGCTGACGTTGCTTGTTTATATATATACTCAGCACCATGAAAAGCATGTTTCTGTTCTATTTGTATCAACTTGGAGAATATATTCTGCCATCCCTGAAACTTGCCTCAATGTCACACAATAAGTGGCACTTTTTTCCATGGCAGACAATAAATGACTTAACCAGAATTAAAACACAAGCCGGTTAGATTCTCATTTATGCTTTAAAATATTACTTAACTACCTAGTTTGGTAAGTGAGTTTCTAGATGCAACTTCAGTCTTATCCTGGTAACTTTTTCTTCTCTGATAACTCTCCTTTTAAAGCATAATTACTTTCTCCCTAACATGTGTTCCTATATTGTTCATTAACATGCATTTCCTTATGGCTATGTACATAGGAGTTTCCTATGCCACTAGGTGCCATCTCAGATTCACGTGGGTGTCACCCTCTCCTGGCACAGTGGATGTGCTGAGTGTGTAGGGTGGGGTGGCCCCTCTAGTTGGCCAAGTGTCTGAAAGCTTTGGCCAAATAACACTTGGCTGCCCACAGGCTTTAATGTGTGTTTTGTTCTGTATCGTTCAGTCTAAAGAAACAGTTCAAAGCATTTTTTAATGTGTCCACTTTTAGAAATTAAGAGTTTAATTTGAATTCTACATTTCCAGCTTCTTTTCTCAAAATGGAAATTTTGGAAATATTCTCCATTCAAGCATCTCCGCCTGACTACAGTTGGCTGGAGTTGAGTGGCAGCTGTCTGCTTCCGAGGGGCCTGCAGTCTGCAATTTGCTCTGGTCCCTACTTCTCCTGCTGTGTGACTGTCCCCTTCGCTCACTTATGCTGCTTGCAGTACCCGGACACTAATATTTCTAGCTTCTCTTTTGTTTCGTCTCAAGTCTCTTAATTTCTGTATATCCACATAATGTTTAGGATCTCTTAAAAACAGAACTTTTTAGGTTAAAAATAATTGCAAATAAAATTCAAAGCTCTCCAAATGATGTTAATACAACATGCAGAAGAGTAGATTACTACCCATATTTACCACTGTTATACCATTTCACCAAATATATGTAAAGAAAAAGTGAAATGCAAAGAGTAGAAAGCCCCATTACTACATAAATATTAAACTACACGGGGGGGGGGAATGCTCTCAAGAATGGCTTGTTTAATTTCTCATCTCAAATAAATATTGACTATGCAGTTCTATTTATATCTTATTCACAGTCTTTCCATTGCTATTGCAGCTTACACATAAGAAGTTATTAAAGAAAAAACAGAACTGTTGTGTTTGTAGTGATTACAATTACCAGAAAACTTTTATTAATTTAAAATCTCCAGTGCTTAGGATAGAGATTGGGGTCGAGTTTGCCTTTACATTGTGGACAGTTTATGCAAAGATTTGCTAAGCAAACATACTAAGTAAATTGTTTGAAAAAGAACTGCTTACTTGACAAATCTGAGAGTCACGAATTCCCAACAATGTAAGTGCATTGTAAGCAAAAGCTAGGTACTGCTTAGGTTGGTACTTTGATATAAGAAGTAAAAATCATTTTTATCTATTCTTCGAAGCAGGACTCCGGCTCTACAGTAACTTTTTACCCTTGTTCAAGTTGCAGTATTTATCTGAAAACAATCAGCTAGTGTTCCTGTAAAATCCATTGTTTCTCTCTGACTTTTCATCATCCCAGACAGCTTGTTTCTTTGAGTCAACTGAACGAGACCTGACTCTTGAGTCAAGTGCAGAAAAAGAGACCACAGTTAAGAGTACATCCCAATTAGTCCCTAAAGCTTCAATAGACACATCCATTATATTTAAAAAATGCTTTACTGATGCAGGAGTTGGCACAAAACAGCAAGTGTCTAAACATGATGAATAGCAGGTTAACGACCTCTGCAGCACCAGGGGACGGCAATACCAAGTAAACCCAATTTGCTCAGTGTTGGAATAGATAAGTTCACAGAATACAGCGTTCTTAATCTGCTACATTAGAGTCACTTAATATCTCAAGATAATTAGGAGCACAAATAAGTGCTTACGCTACTGGATAGTCACTCAAAGAAAAAGGGTGTGTTTTACGGTGCAGAAAACAACCTCAAAAACAGTTGAAATTGATAGGAAAATTGTGTCCTACCTGGGTTACTTTTTCTGTCACATTGTGTGTTCGATCTTTAACTTTGGGTGCAATAATAGTTTTATCTGAAGAAGGAGGAGATGTGTTCTTTTTCTCAGTTTTGACATCTGAAAAATTCAGAGTGAGCTGTGGAATCTTGTTAATGGTGCTGTATTTGTTGAGGTTTGAATCTGACGTAGATCCCAGCAGGCTGGACTTGATATGATTAAAAGGCCCTAAAAAAATTGGAAAGTATTTGTAAGAGTAATATAAGAAGAAAGGAAGAAAAAGATGCTTTTGAATGCTCTGCTAAAGATCCATGACCAAGGTGACCCTGATTCAGGTGTACCTAAATGCAGCCGGCTGATCACTGAACACAGGGCTTATCGTCACCTCCTGCCACCTGGAGTGGCATGTGTGTATCCAAGGATGAGACTGGGTCCTATGTGTGCACCCAGAGAGAGAACGGCAGCCTTAACTTGGTTTCATTTATCAAAGACTGGACTAAAAGTAAAAACTCCCTGTTATTGGTCAACTTCTACCTTCAAAGTGTCTCAGGAATTTAATTTTATAATGTGGGAATTATCCAAAGAGGAACTTACCTATGGATAAAAATCATTTTGGCCATGCAATTTTTGAGTAAGTTTTTTACCCTGTTCCATTTTGTGTTACTGTGCTCTCCGTGTCACTGATAAGGGACAAGCCAACTAGCTTCTTCATATGCTTCTGCTGCCTATAGGAGATGCTCTGTAGAGCTTCGACAAGAGTTAAACGCAGATGAAGGAATTACAGATAATGCTGAGAAGGGCACAAGGCCATTTGTGTGTGTGTGCACGCGCACACACTCTATTAAAAACTCTAGGATTCTGCATGAGATTTAAAAACTTTGCTTTCTTTTGCTTATTGTAGTTAGATGTAAGACTAACTGCTCTCCAAGAAAAGCCACTATAAAACCATACAAGATGAATGCTTTGGGAAAGATAACTTACAGTAGAAGTGATCACAGCGAGGGAATAGGACATGTCTGAGGCTGGCAGAATCTGGTCACTTCTCATATTCCTTTCCTACAAAGATCATTTGGCAAGGTGGTGAGATTTCTGGTTCTCTTGTTGAGGATGAGTAGAGTGACTAGATGCAAATCTAGTCTTTGTCTTCTTTTGAGGCAAATCTCTATCATCTTTTGCTTATGGAGAGCCAGAAGTGTTCCAAGGAGTTTTGTGTGCAATGGGCAATATTACTTCTAATATTATTTAGCTCTTGAAAATTATCATCAGGAAGAATTATGCAAAAATCTAGAGCCTGATATTGTTATACAGTCATAATCTTTGTGTCTGAGAGAGTGGTTAAAACATAGAAATTGTACGGATGAAACTCTTAGCACATTTTGCCTTTTTTCTCTGTTCAAAATGAAATTAACACATTTTAGGGATCAAAATGTACTTTAAGCACCAGGCAATATACAAGCGCTTTAAAATTAGATTTATAGATTATGTATTTTGGACCACAACAATCAATCAACTCGTGTCAAAGATGATGCTAAGAAAACAATAGCCATCATTTTGTATGTATTATAGGGAAAGGTCATACTATATTTGTTTATGAAAGTTTACATTTGTTTATTGTAACGGTTTGAAGTAATTTTAAGAAAAATTTCATGTATTTACTAAATTCTATGTTTCTTGGGCTGCTTTTCTGTTCATTCCCCCGGTTGTATCATGATGGTAGCCAAGACTTTCTGGTGAAAAATAGCATTGAGCTCTCTGGGTATTTATTTTCATTGAAATACTCATTTGGCATATAATCCTCCCTTTCTTTTTAATTCATCTAAGTGTGGAAATAAGAGCCAAACGTGGCACCAAATCAATCTAGTCTTCATATAGGTCTCTGACAGAAACCCTGTTTCCTGTGTCTTTGTGGACGATTTTACCCCACACCACTGATTTATTACTATAACATATAGCAGGTAGTGTTTCACTTTTTGAAGTATTCTACGGTCACATTCTAGGCCTATATCTTAATATTTAAAATTTTTAAATTAGGCTAGGACTTTAAACTTCTTAGATAGTGCTTTACTTCCAACTCGAAGGTCATATTTCACTTCTTAGGTAATTTAACTGCAGGTAAGGATACTGGCAAGAGATTATAGATGGAGCTCAGGTCCAGAGTTTTACTAGTCTTAAACCCTGAAGTCCATCATTCATTTCCATTTCTATATCATCCTTCTCAATGTTGGATTTCTGTAGAAAATTGTCAGCAGAGTTGTTTAAATCTTGGGTAAAAACTTGAATCATCTGTGTTGTTCATAGAAAGACACTGTCAATACATTTCAGTTGTCCTTGTGACCTGTTCCAACTAACTCCACTGAATTGGCTACACTCACAAGTGCAGTCTCAACTATGCCAGCGCTTCCCCCTAGGGGACATCTGTGGACATTTCTTATAGGCATAATGGGAGCATTCGAATGCTACAGTTTTCTCACATGGAAAAATTGTCCCATATATCCCAATAGCATTCGTGTTGGTAAAATAATGTTCATAATGATCTGAATCTTGAACCTGTTTTATATGGTTTTAATATACATTGAAATTTCTAGAGCTACAACTACCATGTAGAGGGAAGAGTATACCTTGTTTTGTTCAGAATTTTATCAAAATTTGTTCACCATTTTGGAAATTTATGTTACTTAGAGCTACACTCTTTATAGCATTTGAATGGCTAACACAAATTCAGAGTTCAGGTTACAATCCGTTTGTAGTTGTCATGTGCAAGAAGTATACTAAGGGATTTGAATCTTCTTTATCAGTGTTGAGGTCAAATGTTATTAAATTTGCAGGGAATTACAGGAATCACACTAAAAATCCTTAATAAAATTCTTTCAGAAATATTTCAAGTTATTATCCTCCTATATACGTGAAATGATACGTGAGGCAATGAAAAGAAATTTATGTGTTAAAAATGAAACACTTGAAATTATTTACTTGGCTTGGGGCTCCCTGTTTGTTTTCAATCTCATTCTAATAACTCCCTAGAGATCTCCCCCAACTTTACAACGTCTTGATTGTCATTTCCTGTTGCAATTCATCATCATCTCCCATTACATAAGAAGGTATATGGTTTTAAAGGCCCCTTTTAAGTATTAGAGGATGAATATATGCCCTGACATCTTGTAGGATTTCTTTCTTCTGTACAATTCATCAGCAATGCCTTTTATCACATAGGGTATTCTTTTGTTCTGTTTTTTTGCAATCGTTTTTTTTTCATCTAGGGTATTGTTTAGATGCAAGAGCCAGCTCTTCTGTGAGAAAATTATACTTTCTCGTTTTTGAAGTTTCTCTTGATATGTTATTAATAATTTAATTTTGACTATTTCTCACTTTTAAAATTAATGCATAAATAAATCTCATTTATTATTATTGACTCCAGGGGTGATTTTTATTTTGTTGTCCATTTATACTCCTGCTCTGTTATTTTATCTGATACCTATATAAAAGGTGTTCTAATGTATTTCATGTTTTTGACCCCAGATTGTCTTCATATGTTTAATTATTGCATCATGTCTTCTAGTGTAGTAATATTTGAACATATATTGAAATAAATATCATTTTATTACAAACGTCTTTCCTTTTATTTTTTCTTTACATTATAATTAGGGAATCATGTTGCTATTTTAGAATAGTAAAATGATCTCTGAATTTAATTTCAAGATAGTGAAATGAGTATAACGAAATATTTGTTAAAACAAGTGATATTACATTTGATATGGTTGAGAAACTGATTGATAAAATGTCACACTCAGATTTTGCCCCAGAATTTGACACTTTATTGCAGTCACTATTTATCAACAACTTCTCTTATTTACTGGTAGAAAAACCTTCTATGCTGCTACTCTATTCTGTTTTCTTTATAGGCTCTTAAATATTAATGAGCTAATCTAGATTTTCTTTTAAATCTACACAATTTATGAATTCAGCAAAACTTAAGATACTACTTAAAATAATTTATGCATGCTCCTTAGATGAGGTATTTACAATTTATTTCATCCCATGCATCAAAGATCATTATGCTGATTCCTACTGATTTTAAAGTGGATATATATGCAGAAGTCTTTTTGAGTCTGCAAGATGCCCACTATTAGTTTAGGTTCTTCTAAACCCTTTTAAATGGCCAACTTTTTAAGTAATGTAGGCATTAACAATACCTTATTTCACCACTGTAAACCTAAGCAGACAGATTATGAGACCAAAAGGAAATAAGAACCAAGGACTAGACATCAGAATACAGGGTTTCCTACTGCCCAGGTCTATATTCAGAGAGACCTTGGTTGAGGATTTAAAGGTGAAAGGCAGCCTCACTGAGAGTGATCATGAACAGATGGGATTAAGGATTCTAATGAAAGAAAGAATAACCTGGAAAACAAAGTAAATGAATTTAAAGAAAAGAAATGGGCAGAATAAAGGGGAAAATGTATTCAATAGAAAGGAATGTGAAACTGAAAAGTATATAGGAGGACTTTAGAGAAGTGAAATTTCAAGATAGTGAAATGAGTAGTAGAAATGAGTTGGTTTAGTAGACTAAACCAACAGTTGAGTACAGCTTTCATGTATTACAAGTGTCTGATTAAATAGAAAGTAGGCTGGTTTCCAGCTAGTGGGGTTTCTAGGTACAAATGAATACCCTACACTTAGACATCAGGCTAGAGACTAAAGAAACAATGGGAAGGAATTTTAGATGAATGATATTTAAATTTTATATGATGAGGCTATTTAAATTTATCATGAATTATGAGGCTAACTAAATTTATCATGAATAAAGGAGAATGTATTCTTTTATAGATGATGCTGGAAATATAGCTAAGAAATAATGCTATCTTTTAAAAAATCATTGTTCTTGAGAACCAACTGAAATAGAAAAGAAGGAAATCAAAAGAACTAAGAGTGTGAGATTGTTTTTCAATAATCGTATCTTTGTGCAGTATTTCTTAGGGGATTGAGTTCATTTGGGGAATGATTAATAATTGCCAATTGCCGAAGCACTTTACCATTAAAGAAAATGCAAATGCAGTGCTTAGTAATTAAATTTCGTAAAAGAACACTGCCAGTAAGCATAACACAACCAGTTTAACACTCAGGTATATCAGAAGTAATCCTACTTGTATTAAATATCTACATTGTCTGTTTCAGTGTGTGATATATCATTTACAGAAAAAAACTATCACCGTTGAAAATCAATTTTCAAATTTTTATAAGACCATGAAATAGTGGGTAGTGGCCAATGTAGCTTATGAGAAACAAGTTGTATCAGATGAATTTATTAGCATTTTATTATTATGGTTTTGTTTCTGACTCTCATGATTTTTGAATGAGTTGGCAACTGAACATACCAATGTCAGAGGGCTGCAGGGTTACTGGAGACAGTAAGGAGGCAGAAGCAACAGGGAGAGAATTGTATCAATAACTCCTTTGTTAAATGGAGTAAGTGGGGCAAATTTTTATTGATGACTTGGAAAGCAGAATAGGCTGAAAAGACTAAGTTTGAGGTGAAAATTAGTTTATGAGTGATTGAGGTAGGATTAGATAATCCTCTCACGTATTAGAGAAGATGCTAAAATTATAATGCATACGTATGTACACATAGAAGAGGCTACTTATTTGAAATAACTTTCCCACTCTTTGATAATGGGTTACACTTTATAGAAAGAACTCTCAAGTGTTATTTTAAGAGAATACTAAATTTAGTAAAGGGGAAGTATGGATTCTAAGAAAGAAGATTAAGTGGAAATTCTTGAGTTTTAGAAGAAAAGATTGAGTACCAATTTACTGTCTTTTTACTGTGATATTACATCAAGATTAGCACTAGCCAGCTACTATCTCTGTCCACTGAAGATAGACGAGGGAGAGAAAATTACATTTCAGCAAGAATGACTTAGGATAGCTCTTTGTGTAACAGGCACAAAAACAGACTTCCCGAAAAAGTTAAACAATGGCCTCCTCTGGAGATAAAAGACGCGTGTAGCACCTATGCCAGGGACTTAGCCAACACTACACTTGAAGAGAATAAATCAGATAAACCTGAAGCTCTTCCAGAAGCATTCCTAAATTATTTATCTTATTTTGGTAAAGAAAAAATTTTTTGGTTGAATTAGGTATTGAAATAACTAATTGTAATTATGCATTTTGCACAAAAGCAGTATAGAAATATTTTATTTTTTAATCTGTCATTTAATCTGGTTTAGAAGCCAAGCCAAAAATGTTTTGCAAGTACACTTAATGTCTTGTTATGTATTATTGAGCATATTAATTGCTCTGTGAAAATCTTAAAAGAGGTCAATATTTAAACTTTAATAGTTTTCAAAATCAGAAAAATACTGAAAACTCTGGAGTGCATATTAACATGAAATTATATTGTTTGCATTTTTTTCTCCAATCTGGGGATATAATTTCATAAATATTAACACATATAAACTTTCTACAATGATTTAGAGATTCTTAATTCCAAATTCTGACTTCGATGATTCCACATATTATATACTTAGAATTGTGATTGCAAAATCGATGTGTAATCTGAAATGTATATAAGAAATATAGAACATTTTGAAGGCTGGTCGTGGTGGCTCATGCCTGTAATCCTAGCACGGTGGGAGGCCAACACAGGTGGATTGTCTGAGCTCACAGGTCCAAGACCAGCCCAAGCAAGAGTGAGACCTTCTCTCTAAAAAATAGCTGGGCATTGTGACAGGTGCCTGTAGTCCCAGCTACCTGGGAGGCTGAGGCAAGAGAATCACTTGAGCCCAAGGGTTTGAGGTTGCTGTGAGTTGTAAAGCCATGGCACTCTACGGAGGGTAACATAATAAGACTCTGTCTCAAAGAAAAAAAAAATGAGGGGCTTGAGAAAAAATTATTAGAGATTAAGTGGATTAATTTATGAGACTCAAATTGAAATAGTTTGACAAACACGTGAGCTACCAGTTTGGAAGATAGGCAAGGCAAATTTTCTATTTATTGAAAAAAAGATTAGATTCATTTCTCTTTGGAAAAAAAAAGTCACTGGAAAAGTAATGTCTACTAATTTACGAATTGTTAAATCCTAAAGCCAGTTGACAAGAGCCATTTGTATCCTGTTTCTTGAGGTTACATTCTGATTATGTCAACGCACGTCACCAGCCACACCTGACACTAATTTACTCTTTTTAGAAATCATGGTGGAAAAGGAAAAAATAAAAAAAGGAAGGAAGAATAAAATGAATAATCATATAGATTAAAAAAAAATCCCATCTCACTATTACAGGTTACCTGCATAGACCTTATCTGAAATGTTTACCCCAAAAGTTGGGATTTTGGGGTTGTTGGTGAGGTTAGAAGAACATTGCCATAATTCCCATTATTTTCAAATTATCCTGGGGCTGCCGACCAGAAAACATCTTTAGTTTCTAGAGTCATTAATTCATAACCATTGTCAGCCCTGAATTAATCAGTAGCAATTGAGAAATCAATATACAAAACTGCACAGTGGTCAGAGCACCGGTGACATACAAAGAGGTCCAAACAGTGAACTCTAAGTACTGACGGTTACTGGTGGAGACGTAGTCATGCAACACACATGCACAAAGGATCCCCTCACCATCTGCACACCCACAGCAGCATGCACGGCACGGCCTGGGTGACAAGACCAAGCCCAAACAGCTTTCCATTTGCTGAGAATAACATGATTCTTCCATGATCCTTGTCAATCTACTGGATACAGTAGAGAATAGTGAATAACCAATTTTTAGCCCAATCCAAATTTATCTAGAGTATTGCCCCGTTAGGCATTACTCTATGGTAGCTGTCGGTCATGTCCATGATTTCAGAATAATATAGAACACAATGAAAATGACTGAAATATAATATAGGAAAATAGCAAATGACTATCATGCATGTACAGTTTACTACCACATTAAGCTGAAAACCATACCCCCTGCCATCCAGGAACGTGAAACTAGTTTTAAGGAAACAAAAGAGGAACAAGTGAAGTGATGCTGTCGTGTAGCACTTTGTTTATTTTATTTAATCTTGTATTCAAAAGTTTTTTCTTTTTTTCCTGAAATAGGCTTATGTGCCTCTTTCACAGGGGAATAGCTTGATATTTGTTTCTTTCCAAATGATTTAAACATTTAGGAAGTGTTCATTGTCAACCTAGGCTTATACTTCTTGCAGGAGAAAAGTTTATAATTATTTTGGTGACACAGCTGTGAAAGTAACAATGTCTCCAGCAAAATCAAGCCATGATGTCTCCACCAGGCACCTGGACTAGCTAAGGGCAGCATGAAGATGTGGCATTGAACAGGGCATTCAGCAGGCAAGTTGACATGCCGAGTAAAGGGGCGTTTTAAGCATCAGATGGTGAAATTTGAGTTTGTACGTTACCTTTAATATTGCGACCATTGTCTGTTTTGAGCATATAAGGATAAAAAAGAGAGAGAAATATAAAAAGAAGACTAAAATTATATTATGTATGCATTGGTTTACCTCTGTAAAAGCAATCAGAGAAAACAGGACATAAGGTTGGAAAATTTAGCTTTGATCGAGATTAACATCATGTACCATTCGATGAAGTAAAATGCATATAACTAAAATGGTAACTGCCATAATAAACATTCTTGTTTAAATATGTGAAACATTTATCTCCATTTTAATAGATTCCAAGGTGCACATTTTTGTGATTATGTCAGTTCAGAGAGAGAAAGACATCCCCAGGTGCCAGCAGTTGTGACAAAAATTTTCAACCTTGTCAGAAGCCAATTTTAGCATCTCCTGAACATCACTTAGCGTATACTCAAAGGAAGACTACACAGCCTTTTGCATGATAAGTGATTTTAAGTATAATTTATCTAAGTATGTTAATAAGGAAAATGTTTCTAAGATAACAGTTTACCTTGATAAATTAACTTGCATTAGTAATCACAATTTTATTAACTACCCACCTCCTAATATTGTTCACTATATATTTTGAAAATAGCAAATATAACTCAAATAGTCATTCTTAGGCACATAAGTCAGTGAAAGATCTGACTTTGTAAAAAGAATGTGAACATTTTTAATTTATGCTGTACTCATATGTAATCAGTGTAATACCTAGGATACTTAGGACATTTATTTATAATGAAGTGGGCTGTTTTCAAATTGTAGAGCGCTTTCAAATTTGAGATTAGCAATCTAAATATTGTATACTTCCTGCTAGCAGAATGTGCAGTACCAGCTTTGAATCATACAAGCTTAAAATAAATGTCATAATCTTATCAAAACCATTCATTCCATCCATTATTTGAAAAATACGTTCAATATTTTGTTGACATCTATGCTAACACTGTGCACATTTAAAATCTGAAGATATATCATAATTTTTTCAAAGCTTATGAATGATGTAGTTCCAATAGTGTGGTACACTGATTTGTTAGAATAGACATTGCCTTGGACAGAGATTCACAAATGAAAGTGTGGCCTTAGATGACAACTCTCTCCCCTCTCGGAAAGAATCACAGAAAGCAAATAAGGATAGTGGAAGAGTTCGTGATTACATGGCATTAAGGTTTCCATCAGAAGTGGGGTCCAAAAACTTATTGTATATATAAAACATTTATCTCTATTGAAATCTATTTTACGTAAAATAACAAGTGCATGCAAGCCATTATGGTATAACTGTATTCACCAAACCTAGAAATTATATAAAAGATTTATTATTTCAAAAAACTAACAAAAAGTTACATTGTACAGTTAATGCTGCTGTGACGGTCTAAAGCGAGTAAGTGGTGTGTGCTGGTATCAGCTGAGGTCTCCTTACTATTCCTCCATGACAACATAAGTGCAGAAATTAAAAAGCATGTGGAATCTTTCATAGCAGTTTGATAGAGTAATCACAGGTTTGTTCAATCTAATAATAAAACAATTGGGGGTTACATATTGTATGTGCATTCCTTAAAAATCTTATTTTACCAATAGTGCATTTTTATTGCACTCACATTTTATTACATTTACAAATGTATTAGTGAAAGATCAGAAAAATATTCTGGTTCATCACTGATGGTTTGAAAAAATGCAGTTCTAAGATCCTTAATGAAAATGAGGATTAAATGGGACGATGGTGTAAAATATTATGCACCAGTAAGAAGTTAGTCTGTCTGAGGACGCAACAATCTGGATTCAAAATATGGTGTATACAGGATTTAACCGGTTAACCAGTTATATGAATTCATAAAACTAAAATTTGTTTTAAAAGTTTTCCTTTATCAATGGCTCCATTTAAAAATATACCACATTATGTAGTTTTAGGAAGTGTAGTTTCTTCTGGCTAATCAGTGATTTTATAGCTAAAATTGCTCTAAATCTGAAGCACAAAATACCCTCTAAATTTATCAATTTATAGTCACACATTGACTACAGCATCTGCAAGAAAGTCATACGTGTTCTGAAAATAGCTTAGTTTGGGTGGGGGAGAAAAACTGAGGATAATTTTAGCACAGAGTGTTATGCATAGTACCTGTACTGAAAACTCCAAAAACATTAAATCATCCTTCCCATAACTGTATTAGTAACTGTACATTAAATGGAGGGCAAATAAATTGAAAGCAATGAAGTGAAACCTTGAAATCTGATCTAAACTATTCAGCATCACTGTTCAAACACTGGCTAAGTCTGTCTGATGCACTGTTTACGTATCAGTTTGATTTTCAAATTTATTGCTTCTGGATGTTATTTTACTGCTGTTGTGGAACATGGGTTTTCTCTGGGGAATCTCTGAGAAGTCAATCTCTGAATAGTTGCTAAAAATGACCACACTAACGGGACTGACTAAAGCACATGTTGTTCATTTGAATTACCGCCTTGGGTTCATTGTTGGTGTCCATCCATAAGAACCACTGATCAGAGATGGAATTATAGAGGTTTTATTCTGTCAGGAAAATTGATCCTGCCATTACTTAATGGTATGCAGTGGTTCTCAACCTTCCTAATGCTGTGACCCTTTAATACAGTTCCTCATGTTGTGGTGACCCCCAACCATAAAATTATTTTTGTTGCCAACGAAAATAATTTTAATAATTTTATGGTTGAGGGTCACCACAACATGAGGAACTGTATTAAAGGGTCACAGCATTAGGAAGGTTGACAACCGCTGGCATAAAGCCTTACATAAATATCTAGTTTGGGAACTGGCCATGACTTTATGTGCCTTTTGACCTTATATGGCCCATAGATTAAAATGAATGTGCTCAGTGCACTTGTATCTATTTCTGAGATACTGATTTATTTTTCTTTGAAGTTTTTCCTGCTAACTATTTCACCTGTTCTGCCTTCTTTACTTCATTGTGCCTTTAGATAAATAAAGAACCTTCACATGATCCAATCCTGATATGTTGCATGATTTTGGAACATAATTCATGACCATGGTCTTTTCAATGTCACATCACCATTTATCAAGTATCCACTGTGAAGCAGATAATTGTGCGGGACCCTGAGGGGCTTCTAGGAGCCATATGAGTTCAATCCACAAGAGCTCCTAGGCCAGTGGTTCTCAACCTTCCTAATTGCTGTGTTGTTACAAATGGAACAAAGGGGTCCTGATACACAGGTTGAGAACCGCTGTCCTAGGCAAAGAGCTCACAGCAACGTAATCATTTGCATGTGTATCTAACAAGAATGAAAGACATATAATATGTATCAAATATAGTGTGTAATAAGTGCTATACTATATGTAAATATTGCTTTGCACACCAGGTCTGGAATCAGTTAATTCTTCTGGTTTGGGGAAAGGGAAATGATCCCTCCAGCTGAGTTGTAGTGTGAGGAGGGACAAAGTGGAGAAGAGTATTCCAGATAGAACAAAGTAATGAACCAAGTAAACATATGATACATTTCCAGGAAGAGGCAAATTAAATTTGTGCACATGTAGAATGGAATATGTATGTAAAAAGGGAAGGAGTCTTGATAGGGCCAGAAATGAAGTTTGAGAAATAACCGTGATCAGCTGACAAATGTGCCTAGTTCCTATACTAAGGATTTATGTTAAAAAAAAAAAAAAAAAAACTAGCCTAAGCATGACAGCTGGCTTCTCAAGAACACAAATCGACATGAGTCAGGAGAGTGGGACCAATGTGTCCATGCAGGGTCCTCTGATTCTCAAACTCCTCGAAGAAAGCTCAGTGACTCAACAGACCCCTCCTATGGCAAGACTTCATGCAGGGCAGAAGTGAGAGAGAAAATTATTGCATGGAATTGACTGTGAACTCTGGAGACAGTCCTGGGATTGAAGCCAGACTCTGACACTAACTAGCTCTGCAAACTTGGGCTATTTATTTAACATTGCTAAACCCCAGTTTCCTCATAGATAAAATGGGGCTTAAAAAAATAGTTCCTAACTTACAGAGTTGTTATGAGAATTAGACGAGAGTTAGTGTGTGTCAAGCACTTAGATTAACTCAACATAGTAAATAATATTACCTATTATCCCATTAATTATCAATTATTTCTGCCATTGCTTTTTAAGAATCCCACTTTCCCTACTGGCTCATATAAGTATGTGAACATGAAGAGGCCAGAGAGAAATAAATGAATTCAAACTTCACTTTTCAAGTTTGTTTTAGTTACAATCAGGAATTACAGGGTTTTTTTTCTCCCTTAAATTTTTCCCTTCCTTCTACCTGTTCGGCACCTGTCAGTTTTAGCTTCTGATCACTCAGTACATTGTAATACATACACCCCGTCCTTCTGGAAAGAGCTGGTCAATGCAATAGTCCTGTGTTGGCACACTATTTTTCCTTCCTATGGCATGATCACTTGTTAAAGGCAACAAAATTTATTGTGCTTGAGATGATAGTGTTCATCACCTAAGTACCTTTTGAAATAAACGTTAATTAATTAACACTCCATGAGGTAGGCAGATAATAATTATACTCTTTCACAAACACAGATAAAGATGCCAGAAGAAACCAAATTACTCACTAGAGTTCAAGGAGGAAATTAGTAAGAACTCTGAATGTGGGACTCACATTTTTAATAGCTTTTAATTACATTTCTTTCCCCAAGGTATAAAGATTAATGTTGACATTAAAAATAATATGGAAATAGCATTTTATTATCCATTAATTTATGTTTTCATATAAAAAAAATCAAACATACCTTCACTGGCATGCCGGTCTCTAAATATGTTCTTGGGGTGGACATTGAATCCTTCTATGTCATGAACTGAAGATGCTCTCCGAATACTACAAAGGCTTTCCCTTGATCTGGAATGGGTCAGCTGAGAGCCTGATTGTAGCATGTCAGGGTAGAGTCGGTCCCATTGTCTTTTGGGGGAGGAATGATCGAGAGGTCCAGATATATTCACCAAGGGAGAACATTTGCTGGGCTGTATCAAAGCTTTTGTATCATCTGCTTCAGAGGGGCTGCAGCTTTCTTTTGTAGGAGACTTAAAGTGCTTCATGGCTACTGAATCATCACTGTGTTTAGAGGAATCAATTACTACCATATCAGGGTCTTCTTGTGGTAAGGATTGCTTTCTGTAAGTTAGAACTCTGAGACCAGGGAATTTGAACCCAAAAAGTTTTCCTACAAATGGAGACAGGAAAGACCATTATTATAAAACAAAAGATACATTCCATAACAAAAACAAACAAACATTGTTGACTCATATTTAAGCACCAGTAAAAAGAATTATTAATCAATACTTAAGTCAGCTGAAGTTGGACTAAGGTAGGTATTGTAGAAAACTCTGGGACCAATATGACATATTATATAAGCAGTGAGAAAATACTAAAATAATTTTTGTGTGTTTCTAATGATTAAATATACTCCAACAAAAGCATTATTTATATGACAGAAAATTTTCAGTTTTGATAAACTAAATACGCGTATCCAAAATTCATCTACTTTCCTAGGAAATTTAAAGGATGAACACACTTTAGATAGGAAAAGAAGGGGCAGAGCATCATATGCAAGGGACAGACACAAGAATGAATACAGTGCATGAATGAGGGAGGGCCGGGGGAGCTAATGTAATAAGAGTATGAGGGGTAGTGCAGAGCAAGATGGTGGATGGAAACATCTCTTTGTTGACTACATATGTTGAGATAGGGGTAAGTAGTCTTCAGCCATATCTGGCTGGGGGAATATGTACATAAATATCACTCTGGGGGCATAGTGGAGCAGCAGGAGACTCCAGGAGCCAACCAGGAGGTGCAGAACTAAGGAACACCAATGCAGAAGTCAGGTACTTGGTTTGGGCAGAGGCTGGCCAGTCAGCCAGCTCTCCCACAGATGTCTGGGGATGGGAAAGGATTGCCCTGCAATATTTTGATTTTGAACTTGGCTGCTCCCTGGAGTAGCAAGTAGATTGAAACAGTGCAAGGCAGCTGGATTGAATGCTCAGTGGAGTGGTACTCCCACTGGTGTGGCTGCTGGCAGGGAAATGCCACTGTGGGAAGACTGCTTGTGTGGGAGGATCAGTCTGTAGGGTCCTAGTGCACAGCAGCTCTGGAGGGCCTCCTGGACTCCCCCGGCCATCTTAGGGGAGAGATGAGTGCACCCCCAAGGAGGGCTGTTTTATTGTCAGGAAACATTGTCTGGCTTCCCGGAAAGTCTGGTAAGAGCTTTGGGACCCCAGTCCTGTGGGGACTGAATGCTAACAAAGCAAATAGGCCTTGATGGAGGGCAAAGAAATCAGGAATACAAGATTCCGACCCCTTTGCAATTAGAGAGTTGCTTCCAACCCCAATCATATACAGAAAATCCAGCATGTGTTCTCCATCTCCTAACACGATAGCACTACCTGGTGTCCAGGCAATATATTGCAATACACACATACGCACACATTATTTTACATTTCTTGCTTATTTTTCAATTTTTCCCTTAGTTTTTTTTCTTTGCTTTTTATCCTCTTTTGTTTTTGTTGGTTTTTATATATTTAGTGTTTTTCTTGGTTTGGTTGTATTTTTATTTTTTCATTTTTACCTTTTTCAATAGCAAGGGATCTTCCATTTTTTTTTTTTTTTTTTTTTTTTGAGACAGAGACTCAAGCTGTCCCCCTGGGTAGAGGGCCATGGCATCACAGCTCAGAGCAACCTCCAACTCCTGGGCTCAAGTGAGTCTCCTGCCTCAGCCTCCCAAGTAGCTGGGACCACAGGCGCCCACCACAACACCCAGCTATCTTTTCATTGAAGCTGTCACTGTTGTTTGGTGGGCCGGGGCTGGATTTGAACCTACCACCTTCGGTGTATGTGGCTGACGCCTTAGCCACTTGAACCATAGGCACCGAGCCAAGGATCTCCCATTTTTATAACAGTTTTTTAGCCTCTCTTATTCTTTATTTCCTTTTTATTTCTCTCTTTTTTCCCTCTTTTGGTAGAGATTTTTCTATTTTTCTCATTTTTTCCCATGTAAATTTCTCAAAACAGCTAAGGTATCCCTTTTTGTTCTCTTTATTATCTTATACAATTATATTTTGTATTTTAAATTGATTTTTATTATTTTTTTCATTATTTCTCTTGTCTGAGGGCTGGGGGAAGTCAAAGCATTGGTCTGGCTGGGGGGGAGTCATAGCACTGATCTGGCTCAGGCAGCCATGAGCTCATGATGTTGGGTGTTCTTTTAGCTTTAGCCTTTGGAAAGAAGGTATTAGTATGCTCCACTGAGAAATACTGCTGGCAGAAGTGGGATTTTGCTTTTTCCTAGGTTGGTAAGAAGCTCCTGACATATAGGGACCTGCCCAATCTGGCTCCCTAAAGTCCTAAAGCTCCTGGTGTGGGTAAAACACCCCTTTAAACATCACTATTTCTCCAGTTGCTCTCTCACTCATTGTTCTTTTTTCTCCTTTTCTTCAATTCTTTACTTCCACCTGCTCTTTCTCCTTTTTCTCCTTCTCCTTCTTCTTCTCCTCCTCCTCCTTCTTTTTTTCTTTCTCCTTTCTTGCTCTTTATCCTTCTTTTCCTTTTAGCCTTATATTAAAAGGCCACTTCAACACCTAAGCTCTGAGACAAGGTAATTTAAAGTGAAGAAGGTAATGAGAAGGAAAAAATAGAGGAAGGAAGTTAACAAGAAGAAAACACACATGAGGAGGAACCAGCAGAAAAATTCTGGCAACATGAAAAACCAGAATAGAGTAACCCCATAAGGAATCATGAGATAGTTACTGCAGAGGATTCTACCTATAAAGAATTAGTGGAACTGATAGAAAGGGAATTTAAAATATGGATGACAAAACAATAAAGGGAATTGATGAGAAAGTGAAAAACACAACCAAAAAATGGATGAAAGATATGAAGAATGTAGAAAGTGAAAAACACAACCAAAAAATGGATGAAAGATATGAAGAATGTAGAAGTGGAACTTAAGAAATTGAAGAAGTCAATCAGGAAACTTAAAGATGTGGTAGAAAGTATTAATTAGAACATGGAGAAGAAAGAATCACAGAACTAGAGGATAAAGCTCCTGAGCTAAATCTGGCAGTTAAAAAGGCAGAAAAGAAGAAAATTGTGGGACTTAATGAAACATTCAAACTTCTGAATTATAAGTATTCCTGATGGGGAAGAAGAATGTCCCAAAGGAATGGAGGATATAATAAATGGAAACTTCCCAAGTAAAAATTCCATAACACTCCTTTTAGAGGGATAATGAACCCCAGGTTTTCTCAACACAAATAGATCATCTCTAAGATGTAATGCATTGTAATGAACCTGTCCAAAGTCAAGATGAAAGAGAAAATTCTGCAAGCAGCCAGGAGTAAGCACCAATTGATCTATAAGGGCAGATCTATCTGGTGACAGTGGAATCCTCTGAAACTTTCCAAGACAAAAGATAGGGGTCAGCTGCTTTTAACCTTCTTAAACAAAATAATTTTCAGGTCAGCATACTGTACCTGCTAAAATAACCTTCCAAATTGATGGCAAAATCAAATCTTTTATTGTTATATAAATAGTGATAAAATTTGCCACAACAAGACCAGCTTTACAGGAAATACTAGGACCTATTCTCCACACTGACCATTGCAATGGACCACTAGCAAAGTAAACACACACAAACTAAAGAACAAAACCTAGGCTCCACAATGGTCTGAAGATAAAAATAAGCAACAGATCTTAACAAAATATGATGGACAGAACTCCACTATACTTATCAGTTTTCTCAATAAATGCTAATGGCTTAAATTCCCCACTGAAGAAGCAAAGGCTGGCTAATTAGATTAAAAAAGCACAATCCATCTAGGATGGATTTTCTAGGATGTCTCCAGGAAACACATCTAATCTTGAGAGATAAAATAAGACTAAGGCTAAAGGATTGGAAAACAATATTTCAGGCAAATGGAAACCAGAAGAAAGGAGGGATCACAATCTTATTTTTAGAGACAAGTGGATTTAAAGTACCTAAAGTAAAAAAAGGGAAAGATGGACACTTCATACTAATCAAGGAAACAGTTTCAATTCTAAATATTTATGCACCCACTTCATACTTGTCAAGAGAACATTTCAGTTATAAATTATTTATGCACCCAACTTAAATGCTCCCAGATTTATAAAACAGACATTGATTGGGTTAAGCAACATGAAACCTTATAACACCTTAATATCTAGGGACTTTAACACCCCTCCAAAACAAATGGACAGCTCCTCAAAACAGAAACTAAACAAAGAAACAACCTTCGGAATGGGAAAATACATTTGCATATTACAAATCTGACAAAGGCTTGATAACTAAGATCTATAGAGAACTAAAATTAATCAATAACAAAAAAAGGAAACAATCCCATCTATCACTGGACAAGAGTCATGAACAGAACCTTCTCTAAGGAAGACAGACGAATGGCTAACAAACACGTGAAAAAATGCTCATGGTCCCTAATAATCAGAGAAATGCAAACCAAAACCACCCTGAGACATCACTTAGCCCCAGTGAGAATAGCCCACACAAAATCCCAGGTTTGCAGATTCTGGCCTGGGTGTGGGGAGAGAGGAACACTTTTACACAGTTGATGTGATTGTAAACTAACATAGCCACTTGGGAATGAAGTATGGAGAATCCTCAAAGAACTGAAATTAGACCTCCCATTTGAGCCTTCAATCCCACTAATAGGCATCTACCCAGAAGAAAAAAATAAAAAATAATCATTTTATCATAAAGACTTCTGTACTGGATTATTTATCGTAGTTCAATTTACAGTAGCCAAAAATGTGGAAACATCCTAAATGCCCATCAACTCAGGAATAAATTAATGAGCTACGGTATTATATGTGTACCATGGAATACTATTCAGCCATGAAAAAAGATGATGACTTTATATTTTGTGTATTAACTTGGATGGAAATGAAACACATTCTTCTTAGTAAAGTATCATAAGAATGGAAAAGCAAGTATCCAATATACTCAGTTTGATTATGAAGCCAGTAGATGATGTAACACATGCCCACATAGGAGAAAAACTTAATTCTATTTATGTTGTGGGGAAGAGGAACCAGAGTAGGTGGAGAGGAGGGGAGATTGATGTGCTTCCACTTAAAGGGCATAAGGTAAGGGTGTATGACACACCTTGGGGTGTGAGATACAAGTACAAGAGGGAC